AAACGAATAACAGGAGCAGTAACTGGTTTCTATGAAAACAAACATATTCTGTTGATTTTGTTATATATTGTATTAAAATCAAAAAAAATAAAATAATGCAAAAATATTSTGCCGATCCCTGATGCTTTTTTTCCTTTCTTGATTAGAAATCTAGAAGTGTTTTTTAGCGGATTTCGCAATCGTACTCACCAATAGCAAAGATACCCTSCGACTGCCATAAAAAGTATAAAACAAGAAGCAATGCAATAGCTGTAATACTGATAGGTGTACAATGCTCCATTTTTAATATTCCTGTTTCATGGATACAGCTAGTTGCCAGATGACCCTAAAATAACAAGTAACAATGCAATAGCTGTAATACTCATGACATCTCAGAAAAACGATTTTTGGCCTTTCGCCATAAGGACAACTTTACACATTTAAGCTCAATATTTTGTAAACACAAAATATCAAACAAGCAAAATGAATGCGTATTTGAGATATAAAGCCTTGTACTTTGGGAGAGGTGATACTTTGATCAGCAGAAAAACTGACATTTTCGTGAACACTTATAAGTAGATTTACTCTAATTCGATAAAATTTCGTTACAAGTTTCGAGCAGCAGTGACACAAATGAAACGCTTAAAAATTTGGAGTATTAAACTCAGTTAAATAAAAAAATSGTGAAAGTAGCGGGCTTGTCGTTTTTCTCAGTGCCCTGTCAATACTGATAGGTGTACAATGCTCCACTTTTATTACCCCTATATTGCATGCAATGCATGCAATAGCTGTAATAYTGATAGGTGTATGATCTAAATGTTCCATTCTTATTATTCCTATGTTACATGGAAACAGCTAGTTGCTAATTGACCCTAAAATGAAATTTAAATTTTGTTTTGGAAATCAACCCTATTAAAACCCCATGTCGGAAGGAAACAAGAACTGAAAGAAATCCTTAACAAGTTTTTAAATATAATTCCTGTCAGAATAGAAGATACATTTGCAAGTTTATTAAAAAAAAAAACGTTTGGAGTTTCATCGTATCTCATAAGGTAATACGGCTCATTGCTTTTAATTAATCATAAAAAAGGAAAGATATTGTCACTGCTGACATAAAATATGTGATTTTAAATTGATCCAATTGTCAGATTAAAAACAACTCTTTAACTCTGTAATTCTTTTCAACGGCTGTAAGATTTTCAGTAAAGAAGTGCTGAAAAACTTTATATTTCGCCTATCAAAACGTTCGTGAATGACGTCATGAGGTTTAACTCATTGCGCACTAAACTCTTAGTAAAGGTGCTCATGAACATCCTTAATGTGTTTGCGCATGAATATATATCTTTATGAATCTCAGAATCTTATGCAGTATTAAAGCAATTTTAAGGTTAATGGCAACCGTCAACTAGACACAAAAGAAACAATTGAAATAAGATCTACAAACCTCTGTTCGTCCATGAACTATAGTTTACCAGACGTGACTGAGGCTGACATTCAGATCATAATTATATATTGTCAAAATGTTAATAAGGCATATATAAAAGAGAAAGTTATGAATATAATAGAAGCAACAATAACCCATTCAACCTGCTATCAGCACTTGACCAMGAAACTTTCGTTTTCCAAGAATTGCTAGTTCTTCCTGCGGTTTTTATTCCCAACTTTGAGCGATAACTCTAATACTAGGGGAGAGTAGGGAGTAACTCAAAGCCAAATATTGACACTATATAAATCGTTTTTTTTTTTGTTTTGTTTTGTTTTTTGCCCTGAGCGCATGAAATAAAGAAAAATAGGTGAAACCACTCCCCTGTTCCCTGTAAATCAAAGTGGACAGCGTTTCCATCCGGGATAGACCAAATTTATTGGTACAATGTWTATTCCATTAATTTCAGATCACGCGTCATAACCTAGATAATAAGACTCTTTGTTTCAGTTCATATCCATCTTTGTTTCATTTCTATATCCATGTGTCTYCTCATACGTAACTGAATAATTAAMCAAAATATCTTTCGTACTAATGCTTGCTTTTGGAGAACATGCCATGACATCCATATGATGTACCAAAATAAATCTCTTCGACATACCCGTCTTCAACTGCATTGAATTTTCTACTGCCTGCGACGCTGAGTAGGGTAAATGACTACAAAAAAGCATTGTACTTTGCACTAATGAACAACAGAGAATCCAAAACTCAAWAACGCATACCAACAAGTGAAAATGGCGGCGAGCATTGAGCGCATATTCGTCTGGGATTGTTACCGGGATTTCTTCGAGGATCATATATAATATAGTATCGCGATTCACTAAATAGTTTCTTATATTTTTGAGACGGCAATATTTTGTGGTATTGTCRTTTCAAAATTAAGGTTTCTGATTGGCTAACGCGCGACGAAAAGGAAAGCTTGAGCGCGCGCGCGTCAAATTCTTACGCTTGTTGTTTGCGCGCTCGTAAGGAGAATTTTGCTTTTAATCAACGAAAATCGGTCATTTTTTTACCGTCGCTTCGCGACTCCGCCCAATAACGGATATATTTTCTCCCAACTAGCCATCAATATTTCGTGGTATTGTCGTCTCAAAATAAATTGGCATTTAATTGTCGTCTCTAATGAAATAAATTACTATTATACCCGGCCTCTATTTCAAGCAAATAAAAATATGTTATATATTTGCAAATTTTTGAAGCTAGGATATTAGTATGTATATCTTTAGAGTAAGTTCATTTAAACCTACTAGTCACTGATTACTGGTTTTGAAGCTAGAATATTAGTATGTATATCTTTAGAGTAAGTTCATTTAAGCCTTAGTAGTCACTGATTACTGGTTTTGAAGCTAGGATATTAGTATGTATATCTTTAGAGTAAGTTCATTTAAACCTTAGTAGTCACTGATTTCCACGGGTAACATCATAGTATTTAGGACTAAGTACACTACAAATTATTAATAGACGTTTCGACCATTTGCCAAAGATATTCTTCAATACACTACAAATCCACAGTTTACAATCTTCAAACCGTAAATTAGAAACGGATGCTGAATATATACAATGTTTTAACCGTGTGTTTTTATGAGTGATCTTCGGAAAGTGCAGCTACC